TAGCTCTAGTACGGTAAAATATCACATTTCTGAGTATTTTCATGAATTTTAAAGAAAAACCTTTTTTTAATTCTATTTGTTTTTTTTTTCGTCGATACATCAAGCATTACTTCGAAGTACTTTTGCAGTATATATTGAGCTATATCATGATTCAAATTTATGTTTTCCTTTCCACGATTTTTCTTATATTAGTCATTTTGTGTTCGTGTTTTGCCATCATCTTCATATTCTTCAAATAATACCGAGATAGTATTAACATGCGACCGTTATTGTTCATTTTACACAAATGACGTTCGTTTTTGTTTCTCTATGCATTCTATCTAGGGGGTAGACACGTGGAATAGGATTAGACTTTTTAGTGTAAAAATTCGAGAAATTAAAGTGGAATAGAGAATTCAGTAGCTGGATTCACATGGATTCACTAATCCCGTGTATGGAATAGCGAAAATGGGTTAATTCAAAGTTTTTGTAATCGATAGTACAGAATTTGATAAAAGCATTGAACTTGTTTTGAGATAGTAATTTGTTCTTTTTTGAAATATTTTTTAGTTCAAAAGTCGATTACAAATTTAAAAAACAATAGATACTCTTTCTCAAAATTTTATTGATGAAAAAAAAAATTTTAATTATCAATAACAAAATGTCATACTCCAGTATCGATAAATAAGTTTTCAAAAAAGTGAATAGCGGCGAAATGTGACATCACATTTGACAATGAAATGACGGATTGGTGGAATAGTAGGATTAGTGTTTTTATATTGGAATCATGGTTTAATCGTTTGTGTCTCCCCCCTAGCATTCTATAGCATCAAATGCTGTGTACAACTGTAAACACAACATTATCTTTTGTTTTATTGAATTCGGTTCTATTTTTATCAATATTTTTTACGATTTATGCGCGAGGGGAAGTGTGTAAATATGTACGTGATTCGGTGTTTACAACGACCTTCATTGCATTGCGCACGTTTACCAACTGAATAAAATGAATGAACAAAAAAACTTAATGCAAATAAATGTGTTGAGACATCTTTTCTTTCTCACTCGGTGCTTCACCGAAAGCATTAAAAAATTAACTCACATCAAAGTTACATTTTGTAATAATGTGCACGAATGATTACTATAATTTTTGTTAATTTATTCCACTTTCTTTCTTTGGCATTTCAAGATGAAATGATTTCTTCAAGACTCCTGCTAATTAATTTCCATGAAAATATTTCGTTTAACACGTTATGAGATTTATTATTTGGATTTCTTTACGTCTTTCATATCCTGTTTCAAACCAAAGTTCGAAATGAGTGCGGTAGTCAAATGAGCGCGAAAAAAAATGAACTGCTGGTGTTCCGTACACGTGAAAAGGCCATTTGTGTTGTTAATCGTGCCGGTTGCTAAATCGAAAAGTGACTTGCTGTGCCGAAAATGCAGTAGAATTGTGTGTGTGTGTTTGTTGTTTTACATGTTTTCATTCAATTGAAACGCATTTCAATGGTATACATGTGTAGAATAAACGTTATTTTATTCATTCGTTTATTTTCTCTTCTCATTCAATTGAAATGCTGCCAACGTCAATTTTTCGTTAACAATAGGTAACGAATGAAAAATAAAACCGGCCACAAATTCTCTCTGCAATGTCTGTATTTTTTTCTAAATCCAAATAAATACATTCATAAGACGTGCAAAATGTCCACTCTGTTACTTATTGCGAAAGCATAATCTTGTTTGAGTGCGTGACGGCTTGTTTGTATACCACATACGTATACACTCGAGCTGGGTTGTGCTTTTTTTCACAGCTGCTGTGAAAGCAATACAATGCCAAAAGACAAAATAAAATCGTCGATTTTCGCTCAACAATACGTTCGAATCGAAAAACTTAATAAGAACGATCTGTGTCCTTACTTAACCATGTTTGGTTTTTCTGTGTTTTGCTTGGCTTTTCAAAAGTCTGTCGCCGGCTGTTTTTTTTTTTGGTCTCATTTTTCATGTGTATGCGATGTGGTTTACGCGCGGGTTAGTGCTTTCGCTCACTCATATTGGTATATTGTCGCCGCAAAACATTTGACTCATTTATCCTGAAGCATTATCCACTTAAATCTATTACATGTTTCAATTAAGTGCTTGTTACAATGTTAGCATTCTCAAAGTATCGCTTCGGTTGAACACTCTTTCTTTTTTTTCTCTGTCTCCATCACTCTCTTTCATTCGATTGTTACTTAATGGCCACTGTAGCATTTGATTCACATCATGTGTTAGAGCGTGAAAGGTCATTAATAAACAGTGTATCGACCGAATAAAGTAGCAAATTGAATGAAATTGCTTTATGCCTTGTTGGTCATTGTCAAGTTGAATGCTCTTGTTCGCGTTCATGCTCTCTCTCTCTCTCTCTCTCTCTCTCTCTCTCTCTCTCATTTTTTCGATTCTCACTCACCGCCTCAGAGATGTTATCGGTCAATATCGATTTGATGAAAGAAAGCATGTAATGTGCTAAGACAGCCGATATATTATTATTATTTTATTTTCTTGTTTTGTTCGTTTTGCTTCATCGTCACAATCACTTGTGTTGAACGTTCAATTCATTTTGGCCGTTTATTTTGTCGAGTCGTGCGTTTTTTTTCCTGTCAAAATACAATCCTTTCGTGCAGCCGCAGCACCCAATTGTGAATATTCACAGCACGATTGGTGTTGCTGCTGTTTATGTGTCCATAATAAATTAATTAGAAACATTCTTCAAGAAATTGATTTTAATCAACAATAAATTCTAATCATGAACAAAATTCAACAAATTTTATCCGCATATACTATGGCACCAGCAACAATCGAGTGTATTCGTTCGATTGGGACGATTGATTGCTTTTTGATTATTCAAAAGCTTGCTAAATTTAATAAATGAGCAATTTTATGCATCTTTTACTTGATTGGATTTTAACACGAATTTATTATGAAAACCTGTCAAAAACATTCATCGCCTATAACATTTTTCCTGAACAACAAAAAAAAAAGATTGTTCATCCACCAACCCAATTTGAGATATGCTCATTTCTACTATAATCGACATAATAGTCGATCAGTTATGCAGCGCAAAGTTTCTCGCATCTCGAATTCGTTGGGAAAATGGTTATTACATTGTCCATGATGTAATTTTAGGTTGAAAGTCTAATTACTTGGATACTTTTCGAAGTTGGAAAATGCAAATTTTCGTGTAGGGAATTCTCGTTACCAAAAACTTTTATACCAAATGAAAATGAACACAATATTTTTGATGAAAATTACAATTTCTATAAGTTTCTAGATGAAACGGCAATGATAAATACAAGACCGGTTTGGTTACAATGTTCTTGTCAACATCGAAATACATATACGGATTCATTAAGTGAATAAAATATTTTCACAATCCTCTCTTCATGCACTAGATAATCTTTTTGTATTTAAGAAAATGCAAATGTGAGTGTCAAATTATCGTGCCAAAGGATGTCTGAGATGCAGCCTTAAATATGTCCACAAGGATTTCCATTTTTCCAACGAAAATTCATAATTAATTATGTTGAATGAGCGCACACGCGAAAAATAAATAGATAAAATGTGTTGCTTCGAATGCATATCTCTTGTGTTGGTGTTGTTGCATACGCTCTTCTTTGACGAATTACCGTGCCAACCATGACATACATGTGTGCGACGAGTGATAAAAGTGCCTGTCATAAAAACTTTCAATTAATCCATTAAGTTGATTTTAGTGCGAAGTTCGTATTATCTGTTACTGTTGTTGTTGACGACGCGCGACGCGTTGTTGTCGCAGCTGTGAATGCTGCATACGATGATAGAATTAGCAAAAATTACAAAACTTCCATCATATTTCCATCGGTTTTACACTGTATGAAATTCATTTTTTTCTCTTAAATTAGTATCACTTTACTCGATGAAGTTTATGCAATGCAAATTGAATGCGTCATCAAGGGTTGGATTTTTATTCAAGCATCATGCATTTTGACAGATACTGGAATTTTTTTCATGGAAAAAATTGAATTAAATATTACTTAATACGATTAAAATTCGATTAGGTTACAACAGTTTCGTTCTGTTATAATATACAAAAGCTAAAAATATCTTTTTATCGACATTCTTCCAGAATTTGTTTTTATTGTTTCCCATAAATGCTAATGAAATTAATCATTAATTTTATTTGAAGTTAAAATACGTCCGAGACTCGAAATTTAAGAGCAGCATCAACTCGCTTTTTATGCACGCGTTTTTCGATTTGGTAACTTGGAAACTTCCTTTCTATGAAAATATTATTGCTTTCTAAATTCATTTCAACTTTGAAAATGTTCAACAAGAAGGCTAGTGTGAACGGAAAGGGAAAATTCTTAATTCGTGTCCCCCCCTAGGCTCAAATACTAAGTTGAGTGATAATATTGTACCATATTCTGTGTATACTCACCATTTTATAGTGTTTATTTACAAATGTTATACGTCACACAATATGGTTTACGGTTGGCAGGTGGAATTTCAGTGTAAGCACGAAAAGCAAACAAGCGTTGAGCCGTCGTTGTTGGTTCTTGCATTCATAAATATAATTTGAATGAAGTTTTGTTAAGCTCATCAAACTACTAAGTATTTTAAAGGTTTTTGTCAAAACCCATACATCTTTTACATCTTTTGCCTCGTTCAGTGTTCGATGAATTTACACACAATTAAACTTAAACTCAATTTATTTCAATTTCAAAGAAAATCGTAGATACAGCAAGTCGTCATTCGAAATGCACAATAGTAAATGGCGCCGGTAATTTTAAATGCGGATTTTATGGCACATAAATGTTATTGTTTTCATGATTTTATTATTCAAACGTAATTCGCGATACAAAAACAAGACATTGTTTCTTAAGTTTTTCGATGCTTGCATAAGCAGATCAATCTACGGAGGAAGTTCTGAAAAATTATGCATTTTAAAACCGATCAATTAAAAAAAAACAAACAAATAATTTCATTTGCTTGCTTTCATTGTATTTCAGACAAATGCGGTCGATGCAGGATCGAGTAATTCGTCGAAAAAGGGTTCGCCGCTTTTAACGCATTTTTCACCGCGAAAATTAAGAGCTCACCATTTAAGTGGCAGTCTGCAGAAAAAAGAACGTACCTCAGACACAAATATGACAACAGCTGTATCGATGAATCGAACGGAAATACCGTTAAAAGGTGTGTCCGGTGGTGATTCGATCCGGTCATGCCAAATATCAATGGACGATAAACCACGCTATGATATCAAGTCCACAATCATACGAGGAACATCGAATAATGTGAGCGGATCGGCAACACATCAACGTAATACAATGGATCAAGCGATAACGAATCGACAGCCAATAAATACGGCAGGACATTCGTATAGCTCAGATTCAGATGTTGCACCGAATACAATGATGATGACAACAACAGCAGCTGCGACGACCACGTCATCGGCCACGGCAATGCGTCGTTTATACTTCAAAAGCGCCAAATTAAGCAAAACGACACAAAATAGTATAACGACGGGACAACAAGCTCAACATGTGCCAAAGGTAATATTAATGTACATGTTTCATGTTTTGCATTTCAAAACTTAACTATTGCCAATCATAATGAATATTAAAGATTTTCGATGCATTTTCGAACAAGGTTATGGTAATGGGAACATCAATAGCATCATCAAATGCTGAAACCACAATCAATACATCAACTGAATCAGCATCGACGTTGGCAACAAATGTGACTGGAACGGATACATCAACGTGTGATTCACTTGATTTAGGTATTTTAATTATTTGACGAGTTAAAACAAAAAGCCGATCACCATAAATATTTTTTTTTAAATAAATATTTAGGTGATACAACTGGTCAAGTGGATCCATTGTTGAGTTCATTCGATGAACCAGTTCCATTGACTGCGATACCTGCAAATGCTATGCTTAACCGCTTGGATGAAGAAGACAGCTCACTAATCGAAGAGTACGAAACTGATGTGGACACAGACGGTGATGCACATCATCGCCGTCATCAAGAGGATGAAGATGCAAAAATTCCATTGTTAACCAGCCCAGAGGTATAATACGTTCTTGATTTCCTTTAATCGCAAATTCATATCAAAAACATACACACACAAACACCCCCAACCCGAACCAATGTTATCAATTCTCTCATTAAAAAAGTCCCTGGATAGAATTTCCGAATATTTAACGAAATCATATAGTCGTTCGATTTGATATAGTTAAAATAAGGAAATATAAACCTATTGATTTTTTGCAACGAAATTATATTTGATTTACAAACATAGCCATTATTAAAAAAACTTAAAAAATTGTAATGCATATCTAAAGCGATGAAAACCCGCTGAATATTGAGTTACTAACAACAGCAAAACGGGATCCGCTGGTAGAGATATATCGCCCGTATAATTCAGTTTCAAATTGAGTGATTGAAACTGACAGTTTAAATGAGTGAACGAATAAATGCTAAATAAATGAGTGCGTCTGTGAAGGAGTGTTGAGTTGTGTGCAACATGATCAATGCATTTGGTTGCAATATCCTTTAACTATAGAGATGCAAACTGAAAGTTTTCTGAATCAATTGCATGTCATTGTGCGATTTCATTGAATTTCCAACAAACAAGACTACTGAATTTGATTCAATCTGAAATGTAAATGAGAAGGAGAAGTGAAATGCGTTGCACACAGAGATGAGAATCAGGTTAGCTTTCGCTCAATTTCAATGTGTTTCGTTCACCATTTCAAATAAAGTTTATTTTTATTTTCGAATTCACTTTAATTAAACTACTGTATTAATCTAAAGCAATAATTTGATGTTGAATATGACAAAAACAAGTGCAAACTAATTGAAAACATTTAAAATGGAATTGAAAAATACTGCATTATGGAATAAAAAAAAACAGCGCTTCGATTCGAATGCATAAATGCTTTCAAACTGAATAAATTTCGTGAAATTTCGTCTTTGCAAGCTTTCAATTTTAATTCACAATATTACGATGGATTTAATTAATATTTAACGAGATGCCAAATGATCTTGGGCTCAGACAATTAGAACAATTGCAATGTTGACGATGGGAGTTATGTAGACGTAATTTTCGGAAATAAAGCCATTTTCACTATCAACCTGAGAAACGATTGTTTGTTGTGTAAACGATGGGATTTGAAAGATTTTCTATCATTTTTTTCGAGAGGCGAATTAGCACAGGCATTTTTTCAGAAATACCAAGAACAAGTTAAGTTGCATTTTAAATGTTATATGCCTGAAATCATTCTCAGTTGACCGCAATTTATCATGTGAAAACGTTCTAGTGCCATTGAACATTGAACTTTTTTTAGTTCTTAGTCCAAGTTGAATGAAATTAAAATAAAAATTAATGTGCAAACAATTACAACGGCCAGTGTTGACAGAGACCCACCAGAAAAATGGAATTTTAAAAAGAGAGAATGTGTATATCCATTGAAAAATGTCTGCTACATTAGGTACTCTCTCTTTTCCTCATTTTCTCAATTTTGTTGTCACAGCGAATCTTTCATTTCGCAACAATGAAGCGCAGAAAATTCAATATTAATTCTATTAATATTCCCTCTCTAGCCCCCTCCCCCATTTTTCCTCTTTGCCCAAAGGATTTTTCATTTTGGCCTAATTAATTCAAACGAATGAGCAAATCAAACAAATCATATGCTCGTTACTACCTTCCAAATGCCATTTTCTCCGGGTTTTTTTTTCGTCGCGGCCTTGTTATTCTGTTCAGTCACCGTTTTACATCTTCTTCCTTTCCGCGTACTACGTAACGGAGTTTCACACCAATTTCGTTTTGGGTTTTCTCTCTTATTTTTCCATATATATATATTCCATATTCGTCGTTGAGGTATTTTCTCTTTTCTTTTTTTTTGTCTTTATTATTTACATTAATTGTATGACAATTACTTACAGTGCATAATTCGGTGTGTTCCATACGAATTTCTTCTCGGTTGATGATTTTTTCAGCATAAAATTGCTACAGAGAAGAAAATTGGAAATTCACAGTGACATTACGACTATATAGCATCATAATGAGGATAGTTCAAGGATAAATGGGTGCAATGAAATGATTTTTACTCAACACAGAAGGATCAGGATACACACAGAAAATAAATACTTTCAAAACTAAGCGACATATCATATAGAATATCGTATTTGTATGTTCTCTATTGTGTTGATCTTCTTCACTTGTCTTAAGTTCTTCTAATAAACGAAAGAAAATTCACACAAAAGAGAATACACAAAAACGATATTTTGCATGAAACTATATGAATAAATCGAATTCTGTACGAATTGCCAACTATATCCAAGTTCTATATGACATGTCGTTCAGTTTTGAGTGAATTTATTTTCTGTGTGTAAATTTGCATTTAATTTGAAACTTTAATGGTGTTTTATTTGTTGGTACTGGTTTTGTTTGTTTTTGTTCAATTACTTCAGTGTATGTTTTTTTTGCATTCACTTCTGGAAGCGATCCATTACAATGCAAATATTATGCACAGATTTATTTGCTTTAAAAAGTCGCGCGAAGAAACAAATATGTCACTAAAAGCTTATTTATAAAAAAATAGTTTCGTCGGCATGCGTTTCTTATTTCTATATGATTGCACGAGAATGAATGTAAGACTTCTACTCAAATTAGTCAAATTTATTGAAATGTAAAATAGCCATACAAAAAGTGCTGACTAGTCTCGGACATTCATATATTCCATATTCGACTGTTGACAGAGTGGTTTTCTTCAATCAATTTTAATATTATTTGAATAATTTATACATTTGTGCATATTGGCACACGCTTTTCCTTTCGCTGTCTGTTTTTCATCTTTAACCAATTTGCAAATCGATAGGTATTTTCATTAAGACACATTTATTAGTACATTGACATTCTAAATGACAATGCGACTGATGCAAAATCGACTCGTTGAGTGATTGAGAAAATGTATGAATAAAATGTAAAAAAAAAAACCAAGTGCATATCAAATCAGAATATAGAATCCAGTTTGTCATTTTTGAATGTTCACTGACGAAAAACGAATCATTTTATTAACGATTCGTCCCTTTCTACTTTTCCGTTATTAATTCAATAAAACGAATATTGATTGGTAACATTCATAAAATATGCAAAAGAATAATCGGATGAAAATTAGATGAGAAAGGGAAACGAAATTCATAGATCGTTTGAAATCGTTTCGATTCAATGTCATCTTCTTCACGGGTAAAATATGTTGAAGCAGCAGTAGCAAAGAGGAGAGTGTATGTTCTTCCTTTCATCCATTTCCAAACTAAACCGCAGCACATTTTATCGTTCAATCGAATCAAAGTGACATTCAATTGATAGCATCCGTTCGAATTGCAAATATTTTTATTATTGGTTCGAATTCAATAAATATGGAATGAGCCATGTGACACATAAAATTACATATATCAATAAAGCCTGACTGTCTAATGTATGCTTTTCTCCTATCTCTCTCTTCAATCTTCTTCTGTTTTCATTGAAAAAATGTGAAGCGAAAAAATGCCAACATAACTAATGATTTCAAGATAGAAAAAAAAAACCAACCATTTCATATCGTTGTGTCGGCGGCACACATCACTGATTTTATGAATGAACTTGAATTATTATGGTTTTCATGGAGTTTGATTTTTTTTAAATATCTTCGTTCTTTCATTTTTGTGTCGAAACGAAGCATATAGCAAAAGGGTAACTGATATTTAGCTCTCATGAAAACAAAGTTATGGCAAAAGGAAACAAGCAAGCAAGCAAAAAAAAAATGATATAAAAAATCATTCAGGTCGAATGACGCAAAAATAAAATGTACCCGATCAAAAGAATTTGTTGTAAAGAAAAGCGTTGAATTGTGAATGAGTGCCACTCGGCACTTATTTGCTAAACATGGAATAAAAGTGACTTTTAACATTCGACCTTTGTCGCCGCTCGTGCTCGTTTTTGCTTTGCTCATGGAAGATTCACTGACTCTTAATTGATGACACATCTTTTGGTAGATGTTTTTTTTTTCTTCTCTCAACTCGCTAAGCCAAAACTACCTTCCACAACTTTTCTATGTACATTTTTACAAGTCATATTAAACGATGTTCGGTTGTGTGTACACATCTTTTATGCTCATAACAGAATCACACCAATGGGATTAATGTGTAACAGAAAACTCAAACAATATTCCCTTTTTTTCGGGCGATTCAATGACATTTTACTTTTCATTTCACGTTTCATATTGTCTGTTGTTCTTTTTATCGAAGAACCCTTTTCTTGAAAAAAAAAAAATGTGAAGAATTTTCATAAAATTCAATGATGACCGATTCTGATTTCGGAAAAATTCTTCACATTTTATGTCGTACAGATTTTTGATGAACGAAACATTGTTTTTTTTTACTTACGTTGGAAACGAAGAGATAATAGCTTTTGTAAAAGAAAAGGGAAGATAGAAAAACGTTATAAAAACGTGTTATTTGTCATTTTATTGCATTGAAGAGTCACCAAAACTTTCAAAGCTACCGTAAATCTACCACAAATAAAAGAATTAAGGTTTACAGTAAAACCGTCCAATATACCTGCATGAATATACCTTTAAGTATTGGAAAATATTTTTAGAAGTCAGAATATGTTTGAAGTTATATCACTACAACGTCGGAACTGATAAAAATTTGGCTCCGTTCGATTCCACTATTGGAAGTTTATTCTGTATTAACTATTGCATATTCAATACATACTCTCTCACACCCACACACACACACACACACACTCACAACTTTTATATAACCAAATCCATTTACCGTTATGGCTTAAAGTTCAATACTTTTCATCTTATGATTTTTTCGTTGCATATTTTGTGCTATCGTTTCATTATTTATATTTTTTTCAATGTTTCTTCGGTTGTTTCGTTTTCATTTCGAGCAGCACCAAGATGAGCAACAAAAGCAAAAATATCCGCATTCATCCACTGCACCACACACTGCACCATTAATAAGTAAAAAGCATTTTCCATTCGATGTGCCAACGTCACCGCGTAGTGTTCGCACGACAGAGAAAAGTGAAGCACTTTTCACATTTGAAAAGCGAACCGATTTAACAACCGATGACATCATCAATGGGTGTAGCGTTGGCGGCAGCGGCGGCGGTGGCTATGAGAATGGTTGCAGCAAAGTGATTGTTGACGGTAACAAAGTGTACTATCATGGTTCGTCGAATTACAAGGGTGATAATAAAATAAGCAATGGCAATGGTGATGCTCGATATCGTCATGACAAATTGGACAAAGAGAATGCATGCGAAATAACAACGAAGCAACAACAGCCACTACGTTTAAAGCATATGAATGATGAGAATTATTATGATGAACAAACGTACAGTAGCTACAGCAAATATTCAAGACGTGATGGACCATGGAAGAATCGTCATGGTGGCAGCAATAAATCGAATAGTTCGAACAAAATGGGAAAACTATATTCGAACGATTATACGGTTGCGTTCAGTAGTAGTAGTAATGCATCGAATAAGAAACAATATGATGATACAATGTTTCCATTTGATCGGGCCACATTGGCATACGATGGGGGCGTTGGTGGTAGCGGTGATAATAATATGGAATGGACAAAACGAAATTTATCATCGTATGCCAATAACTATTATGATTCACCCAGTCCCGACTATGATTATTATGAGCAATTTCGTAGCGCACCAAGAAAATCGACCGCATCAAATATATCGTCGGATGGGCGACTTCTTAAGGAATTGACATCATTGTCACGGAAACAATCGATGAAACTGAGTAAATATGATCATCCACCGTCACCATCTAATACAAATACCATGATCACAACCAATACCAATGCTACAACCACCACCAAAAATGATCAAAACCATCAATATAAAAATCACATATCCGATTCCGATGCCTTTAGCCTAACCAAACCGAATGCAAAAACCAATTCTACTTCACCTGACAATACCACCATTATCACAACAACAACCCACAACAATGCTACTTCAATTAGCATTGTCAATCAATCGTCCAATTGTAGTGCCAATGATCGTAATCCAGTTTCCCAATTTGAACAAATTGCATCCAAATTTGATAAAATCCCCTCAAAAGTTCCATCACATGATCGTAAGTAACCAAACGAAACGATTTTCGAGTCTCTATTTTCATCATTTTATTTTATTCAGGGATTGTTCCTCTGAGGAGGAGGAATGGTGAGGAGGAAAATGAGGAGGAGGAGGAGAGCGAGGAGGATCCTCCTCCTCAACTGAGGAGGAAAAGTTTTTTTTGCTCAAAGGGCTATTTTTATCACAAAAATATCATTTTTAGCTAAAAACATTTTCCTCCTCAGTTGAGGAGGAGGATCCTCCTCGCTCTCCTCCTCCTCCTCATTTTCCTCCTCACCATTCCTCCTCCTCAGAGGAACAATCCCTGATTTTATTTGTACATATGCACACCTTTTCAAATGCAAAGCATTTCAATTTATAGCTTATTTACAAAATGATATGCATTTTGAAGTGTTTTTTCTTTTTTTTGAGTGGCATTCGATTCAAATGTGTAATAAAATTATAGAAAAATGTCGTTGAAATGTGTATTCGTTTTCGATGTTTTATAACAAGCTCATGAACCACCGGCCACATCGCCTGTTCCTGATTTGCGCGTTGACTTTTTTTCCGAACCAATGGATAATACACAGAAACGACATTCTTATGTTGAAATTACAATGAAACAAATAACAACATCGGACATTTCACCCAGCATGAGCAGCACAAATATCAGCATGGTAAACAACATCGGTGGTAATGCGGCCGGAATAAATGTTACTTCCAATCCGATGGACGAAACATCAACTGTTACATGTACAACGCAAACACCGCGCGCCACTATCGTCGTTCAACAGGTAATGTAAACAAACTAAAACACACACAATTAAAACAAAAACAAAATGTCGTATTGTTGCTTTTACTTTTTATAATTTTGCTTTTGATATTTTACCTGGCCAAAGTCAAGCCATTGCACCAACTGATTTTAAATAAATAAAAAAAAAATACATTTGAAAATTGTGGAAATTTTGTGAATAGAAGGCTTAGAAATGCATGCTTCAAATTCAGCTTGTGGCACAATAAAACCAAAAAATTAATTTACATTCACTAAACAATAGCTCATTCTATGTATTTATTTACAATTCTAGTCTTTGTTCCTATTTCTCGTTACTTCTGATTAATTTACAGTGTGTTGACAAGCGCTTTTTTTGCGCACATACATATGTACACGCTAAAAAGAACAAAGTCAATATAGCAAAACAGTTACTTCGATTGTATGCTTAATGTGCACCCTTTTTATTTTGCTTTATTCAACTTTATTTGTCGGTGGATACGAAAATTCGGTTCTAAAACGACTTTCATCAATATTTATGTTTGTATACAAACTGTATATCCAATGAATATAATGCATTGATGGCAATGTGATAATAAAATCATACAAAATTAATGCGATTATTGCGTACAATATTTGCATCCAATTCCGGATTAATGTTTCAAACATAATTAAATAGCATTGATTTGATATTCGATTTGTAACCATTTCGATAATTATACACTATTGTGAGCACGAAACGAATATTTTTTATTGATTTACCAATGTCGTAATTACTATTACTATTTGAATAATAATTAACATTTGTATTTAATTTATATCAATAATCGGATCAAAATACAAAGTTTGGCATCAAAAATATAGGAATAATGGAAATTCGGCTATTGATTGTTAACAGTTAACTTTCAACTTGAATTCTGGATATTTTCTTCACTAAATAAAAAATTGCCACAAAGTTTGTGATTGTTGAGTAACAAAATTGCGTCTCTGGCAAAAATTGATATTTCTCACTCCTATAGGAGGATATAGCCAATTCACCAACTTCAAGGTGCTTAATGCAATTCTTTCTTTCTCTGAAGTTCCCAAATGGTGAATAATGTGATTTTTTTTAGAAAACCTTGGAAACTTCATCATTGGAAAATCATTTTAAAAATTATGCAAATTACCTTATATTATTCTCAAAAATAGTTAAACTAAGTTTTTTTTTCAACAACTTTCTCTTAATTAAATGGACATTTTAAGTTAAATAATGACTTTTTTCTTTCCGCAAAATATTAAAATAATGCGAAACAATGGAATCAAGAGAGTCGAGTGGGTTCTCTTGATTGTTTATGTATGTATGAACTGTAGCATTGTTAATATGGGTTTGATGAACGATATAAAAAAAACTGAACATTGCCATAATTCCTTTTTGTTCGTGTGTCGCTTGTTTATGTTGTGGTTCCATTTGACTCTGGTGTGTGATCCAAAATGAAATGTGTAAATAACATTTATTTAACCAGAATTTGGTTTAATTATTCAGATGCAATTAATATTTACATAGCTCACTTGAATTCTCAGTCGCTGAAACCAGCGGCATTTTTATTCCCTGTTTAAATATCAAAGGTATTTTATTTGTTAGGCATGTGGACATTTCAAAATATTTGTTATACTGCAATGAAATCCCTACTGAGGAGCTAGATGGTGTCTACACGAGTGGACGGATTTTTTAATTTATTTGAACGACGCCATGTTACTATACTTGTCCATTATAACGTACATGTAATAGACGTATAGAGGCATGTTCACTATAGTGGACACAAACGATTTGAAGAATATTTGCAACCGTCAATGTGAACTAGATCGAGTATAGAGCTACACATAGGAACATATACGATGTCGACACCATCTGACATCAAAATTTTGACATTAAAAATACGTGTTATTGTTGTTGTCGTTTCATTGCTGCGGTTTAATAACTATACAAACGGAACCCGATCATTTAATTTACCGATTATCAAATTGTCTAATTTAACAATATTATTTGTGAAAAAGTCTCGATGCCTATTCCAAAAAATTTCTCTTATTAAATTAAAATTCCCACATGCTAACGTTAAAATAAGTCTTAAGGAACATCTCACATAATCTTTCTGAATTCACTCTATTTTATGACGGCGTGGTATACTTGCCATCATATATGGCCACAGCGGGGAGTATAAGCCCGGACAGCCCCCTTGCCCTGAAATCGCTCGAGCGTGCATATTTTTTGCGCATTATCTTTTCCATTTAATATACATGAATGTTTAATTGTAATAAATTGTTTCGTTTTGCTTGTTATGCAGCGTCAGAGTGAAATTAATTGAATGTTTGACGACTGAAGCCAATCCGATTCTTTTCGTTACTGCATTTTTTATTGTTCACTTGAGCTGTTACCATTACCCTTTCGAATATCCAAACATTTTCAATGGCCATTCATAATTAAATTTCATGTTCGTTGAACGAAATTCAATGAAATCACTTGAAACACACAAAACACACAACAAACTTCAACACAATTGTTTGATGTGTTTTTCAATAAAACCAATACAGGAAACACTCAAAGTGATATACCATTTTTTCGGCAAACAATTCTTCAAAAGCTGGAAAATATATCATTTTTTTTATTTCAATTCAGGCGGGTAACACATGTATGAGTTTGGAGACTTTTTTTATGCGAATCAAACTGATCAGCACCATCATTCAGTGAACTTAATTTAGTTCGGTAGGATTGAAACGAAAAAGAGAAGAAAAAACAACAAGAATAGCATGGCCACACACAGTTGTACATCAGTTAGTGTATACATATGCTCTTGATTGTTTCATTAGCTGTGTTATTAAGTTGTTGTTTTTTTTTTTCTTTATTCGATTCAATGCAATGGAACTAAATTGAGTTCACCGACTTCATGGAGGATGGCGTTGATCAGGGGAATTCGCATTTTGTCTCTTCTTCGCCTTCAGTGAAGGCCCTTCACCGCTTGATTCAAATGAACTCTCGTGTTTAAAAAAAAAACACAAATATATAAATGTTTGGACGGACATTTGAATTAAATGCAACAAACTACAGAGTATAAACCAACTAAAACTTTTGATTCATGCACAACCCATCCGATCTTATATATTCTTTATTAAAAATTGTTTTGAGATATACAAATTCTTAGGAAAAACCTCAGATCTGAAGAAAATAATTTTCCTGGACGAATTTTCCAAAAATAAAAATATTGTTTTTGTGGGTTGAGCTTCAGAATCCGAATAAAATAGTAATATAGGTTTCAAGTTGATAGCTAATACCTTGCTCACAATGCGTGTCACAAACAAGCCGAAAACGATTTTAAAGCTTGATGATACTTCAAGCAATCGTTAATGAACATATGCATGTCATAAAAGTCGCATGCTGAAGAAAAAGAAATGTCCAAAATCTTTTGGACTTTAGTGTTGAATTTTTGCAGAAAATTCATTTGATTCACTTTTGCAACGAATGAAACACGAGAAAAAAATGGTTTTTACATAATTAAAGATTGCATGTAGAGTTGCTTGTTAGAAGATTCCAAAATGATTTTGAGTTTTTTTCTCAAACTTTTCACCATTACCTAGTGGCAAAAGGTCAAAGGTACAAAACAGTTGGAATTATTACGAATAAACCAATTTTCGTAAAATATTGCAGTAACAGAGTTATTCCGTTTCGTTCACATTGCACGCTCACTCATTTTCTCTGCGTGCTGTGCATATGCAGCATTGTGGATTTTCATAAATTGTTTATTTCATACAATGGATGCTCTACAAATACGTGGAGAATTCATTATTGAATATTTATGGGAAAACGGTTTGACTTCGATGTATGTTTTTGTTGTTGCTGCTGTTGTTTGCTTTACTTTTCCGAGATAATTTTAAAAAATGGTACCAAATAAGCTTGTTCTTGAAGTTTCTAGTTCTCAGCTACTCACTTTCAGTCACCTTCAACATATACATTCTACGTTTATATAAATTCAAGGTAACGAACACTTCACGAGAACTCGATTACAGTAATAAAATACTTTATGCATAAAACGTAACATAGATTTTGCGAACGGAATTTCTCGTATTCAATCGAAAAATATTTAGTGACATAGTATTTTGTGCATATTTCCGTAACCATAATTCTTTTCGGGCAAAATTATGTTTAGATTACTTTCTTCTATCAAAATCCTAATCAATTTTCCTTTGTAATACGAGTTTTTGAAGTTGATATAGTTGGATGTAGCAAATGCACAATCTTTGTACAAATAATAAGCATAAGCACATACCATATTTGATTACAAAACTACAGAGAATGTGTACGCTTAAATGCCACCGGAAATGCATTTTATCCAATGATGCAATTGTTGTTGGGTATACTTTGGGAATCTCGGAGATTGTGTGTTTGTAATTTTATTTGCATTGGGAATGTGCTTGTTGGGGTCACAGACAATGCAATTTTTTGGGACGTAATTCGGATTGAAAATTTCCATCACACACAAAGCTAATATTCAATTGTTTGAATTGACTCGCGGCTAAAGTGGCCCAAAGTGAATCAATGATTTAATTAATTTGTACATTATGCAAAGTCCCCATTAGCTTTGTATAATTGAATTTTACCACCCTTTCGTTTTCCATTTTGAGGGCCCATATTGGTCATCCAACATTGTATAGCCAATATTTTGTAAAGTTCGCACATTTAACTCCTACTCAAGAAACAAACAGAACATAGTAGCATTTGTCGGTTGCTATTTAAATGAAATCATCAAAATGCCATTCAATATCTAATACAAAACAGTTAGCTCAGCTTTGATCTTAATTGAATTCAAACTAGGAATTTGAAGGAATGAAAAACAATGTGAAGCTTGAATATTAATGAAATATCTGGACAATTCAACGTCAACAGCAGTGTAGAGAGCCTCGATTAGAGAGGAAGTGGCCAATGCGAAATCAATATTGAACCATAATTAATTCATTCAAAGTAACTTTTATTAATAATAATTTACAAGCCGATCTTTATCCGTCCAACAAATAATAATTTCAATGACTGATGATGCTTTATTATAAAAGCATTCATGTTATACACATTGACATTGTGTGTTGAAAACGGTCGACATTAAAAACTTACACTGCACGCTTTATACATAAACAACTATTTACCGCATCATTGTTTTGAAAAACTGTCTGCACACAAAACAACTTTTGTCTAGCGATGATTTCAAATCTACATCTTCTTTTTTTACTCTATAGTACAACAATACACTATTTTCTCTCTGTTCCTTGCACCACTTCACCGTTTGTGTTAATTACCGTCATCTGTTCACAATGGATCATAGGTCAAATTGTTCACGATGATTTTTACATTGAAAATAGCTACCCATGGTTCATTGAATCAAAAATACTCACGGTGACAATGCGAACGGGGATGAGAATGTGAATAGAGAGACAAAGAAAGCAAAGACAAATGTGCATGGCAATCATGAATGAAGCCTTTATGTAAATGTGTGTCAGACAGTTGAGTCATCGTCGTCTCAATTGTTTGGGTTAAATAGAAATTAATTTACAGATTTCATTCTCGGCTTGTAAACAAACTAAATTTCTCGCCGTGTTTTTAATGATATTCCACACTTTTGCGCGACAACACGATACATTCTTGCGTAAAGTAATTCAAATTGAAAATGTTTGTTATTTGTTTCGTTATTTATTCTATTTGGTGCGTGTGTGTTCGTTTTTTCGTGTGTATCCAGCCGTCTTCATTGCCAAAGAAATAAAAGAAGAAGAGGATTCAACCTAGCATTCAACCGTATTTTATTGCCGGCAATTCACTTTTCATTGAACAAACGAACATCTCAAACAGAAATTACATTTGCCCCATGCAAATACTAAACAGTGTAATCACATTAGGCTCTTGATAAAAAACATACACAAGCATTTTCAGGGTGTACGAGAACGATAAAAAATGCGAAATTATATAAATTCGACGAGACTGACGAGCGCATTCCACACTAAATACACAGTCATGTTAACACATGGTTACATGATGTTTTTACGAGTTGTTAAGGGATGTCAAACAAAAACACATATAAAATTTCAAAACAAACGAAAATTGACGCAAAACAAGTGAGGCGTCAGAATATAACACCCCGTCAGCACTATTGTACATTGCACTGGAAAAGTATTAATGAAAAATGATTGATGTGAGAGAATATTTGAAATCCCAAGTAAATTTTATAATAAACATTTGTGTGTATTTAATCGGCATAAAATTTTATGCGTTTCAATATTTTGTATTTAAAAATAAAATACGATTTGAAAGAGAAATGAAATTAATATCGTATTATAATATTGATTGAATGAAGATGGAAAAATAGCGAATATTTTGTGTACAATGTTAATGTTTTCATGCCATATTGCATTAGGTTTAATGTTGTTTTGTTTCTGTTATCATAATATTGAATTCGTAACAAAACAAAAATTCTGCAATTTTGTTGCACAAGTTCATAAATATGGTGCACTCGTACTTATTTGCTTAATGTAATTCATAATATTAGAGAAGTAATGCGAGTGTATATAGTATATACTATGTTGGTTTTTGGGTAATGTTTTCCCTGCACTATGATACATTTTATATGTGTGAAAATATGTTTTTTCTCTCAGCACTTTGATTATCATTAGGAGCCGATGGCAGTAGCTATTATTTGAATTCAAAAAGTATGCTTCGAATTAATTACATATCCATATTTATAAAATAATGAGCACCAAATGTGAACTAAGTGTTGTGTGTAGAAAAAGAGAAGAAGAAACTTTATAATATGTCATCTTTTTATGCGATACGTTCAGCATTTATTTAAGATATTTTCTTGCTCTCTTTCTCCCTCAATCGCTTTATTTTCTTGCTGCCGTCGAGTATTTCACAACTTTTAATGAGAATGTGCAGCAAAAAAAGTGCTTAGACTGCTATGACTTCATCATCATGATGCGATGCATTGCCATCCATAGTACCCATGTGATGCTCGTCACAAGCTTTATTTATTCAATTCAAAATATGTTGTATTTTGCGCTTGTTCTTACTTTATTTCGCTCTGTTGCACGCGCAATATTCCACTGATGTACACTGTTTTGCCAAATCTGCTTCTTGAAGACGCAACCGTAATGTTGTTAAAATATATATTTTGTTGTTGTTTTTGCTCTGAACCTATTTGTCTTGTTTACCAAAGTATCTAGCGTCCCGTGAATCACACGTGTATGTGTGTATGGTGCATTCTTCCATTGCAATGTATGGTAATTTTATGCGCCAGCACTTGCAAATAGACAAACACACTTATATGGCGAATCAACGTTGCAATGTAGTATCTACTTTGCAAATGACACTTCAAATTTTCGCCTATTGTACTCTCTCTCCGTTCAAGACTAAAGCCGTCACATATCGCCTTTATGAACTTTGCATAAATATTTTATAAAACTTGCACATCTGTCCGTTTTGGCTTTGATACACATTGGATATTAATTCGCTCTCTATTGAAGCGATACAGTTTCTAATCATAGACAAATCTAAATATCTATCAGACATTATATTGAGATATTTTCAACCAGCTGAATAACTTTGGGCAATTAATGTCAAGCGATGAAATGGAGTGAAAACAATAGTGTCTGACGTTAGCTGCTCGAATCTTTCTCAATAAAATGTCTGTTCACTGCTGTATGGAATGTTTGAGTTCAGATAGTTAAAAATATTAACAGAACAATATCTGTTGTCTACGTTTAAAGTCCATTACCTTATTTCATTGAGAACTCAATCATATCACGTTGAAAAGATGTCTTTTTATTATTTTTCAACAATATTTATCAAAAATTAACTTTCATTTAGCCAATGCCTGACAAGATTCTTGTCATGTCCACATGTTGTGTGAGTAAATTTTATTTGACAATAAAATTCGATTACGGGCAAATCAGATTGACACTTAAATTTCTCTTCAACCATGTCTTGAGTACCTGGAATGTGTCCATGTATGTTATATACTATATGAAGGTTTCGGTGTCACATTTGAAATTGGATCGAAACAAATGTTCGTTGCAAATAGTTGGCATATGATATTTGGGGTGAAAAATCTTTATTATTTTCTTCTCGAGTAGATCGAAAAATCTTTATCAATTCACTTCAAATCGAAAGAGTGTCTATTTCACAAAAGAGATGAATTGTTTACTGGAAAAAAGATTGGTCGTTCTCGAATGCCGTTCGGGTGGGAGAGATTCGTGTGTGTATGATTTTTTCACTCTGTATCTCAAATATTTCGTTGTTTTGTTTATTCAAAAGAAGAGGAAACGAAGAACATAAGCTTATTTACTTCAGTGCCGAACATTAATCCGTTTGTAGAGATCGTTGAAGTTCTTTGATTATGTATTATTGTATGTATAATATTTTCCGCCCAAATATTTGGCTACACGTATTTATTGATGCTCTACTTTGTTTGAGGCATCTTGCAAGTGGTGTATAATCTTATTTTCAGACCTAACGGGCTTTTCTGTTGCCCATACTATTTGTTCATGAACTGATATGGCAAATTTTGTTTTTTCTCTGCTCCTCTCGCATTGTTTGCATGAAAATCTTTGATGTTTGATATAGCGCTTTGTGTGCTTGATGTGATTATTAGTATTGATTGAACACTGTTTTTGGTCGATAGATAGAAAGAAACATGTGTTGTGTTCGTGATGATGGTATTACATGAAAATCGGTTTTGTTAGGGTTGTTCGGGGGTAGAGAAGTGAAATTTTATCAATAAAATCATAAATGACAAAACCAACGAAAATGAAGTGCCATCGAATTTTTTGCCGAGCATGAAAATTCGTGTTTTTGTGTTAAAAGCTTTCAACATCAATAAACCTCATGTGCAGAAAGCCAAAGAAACACAAAATGAAGCCAATTCAATATTTTCGTTTAGTCACATTAAAAGTCTAAGTGGGTGCACGATACACGAAAAACTTATATGCTAAGTATAACATTTTACGCATGAAAGAAAAATGAATACGGTGTATGTGCATGGCTGGCAAATACATTTCACAATGTAAAATTGAATTTGATGATGAATTCGATTAAAAAGTCCAATTTGGCATGGCAAAATATTCAAAGAGCTTCTAGTTGACTGCAATTTGATTATATTTTAAGCTTGAAATATATAGCGTATAGCGTACCATTCTCGGTTAAAAGACCTACTAGCAATACCAATGAAATTAAACGCCAGACTTTTGTTGTTGCTCTTATTGTAACCGCGAACATATTTAAATTAGTTGAATGTCAACAACTAACACACAAAAATTGCATGCTTTTACCAAGTGATTTGATGAAGCCATTTATTTTATCACAATAAATTAAGTAAAAAAAAAATTCTATTCGATAGCAAATATACTCATATGAAAATTCCGTTCTGCATTCTCTTCGGTGCATTTCGTTTTTCTCTTTGAAAATATATTATTGGTAAAATGGTTGCAGCCATCGTTGAGTCTGGACAATGCGGTTGAGGTATTCTTATTAAAAAATGAAGGCGAATTCGTTAGCGTTGAACAGGGTCAGAAGTTGGGCAGTTGCACCAGTATGGGCGATAAAAAAAAGAAACGCGAAGAAAATATGCGACAGTTGCTCGATGTAACCAATACAATAACATCGGAGGAAATGCGAGATTTTGAAATGAGGTAAGCCATTGTATGTGCGAGTAAGAGAAAGGGAGAAATAAAAAAATAAGAGTTACCTCAAAGAATTCATTTGAATTTTTGTACTCTACGCTTCAAATTCTCCGTTAGTTATATTATTAAGCCCTGTCAAAGTGGACGATGTTTCAATGAGACATACATTTGACAAAAATCTTTCAATGTGCGATTTATCCCATGTTTCCCATTCCATTTACTGATTTTTTTTTTACTTTTTATTCTGGTCTTTTTCTTCTTCTTTGTGTATTTTTCCTTTTTTTATCATTTCCATTTCGTATTTTTAAGCAGATACGGTTCACCGCACCACATGCGATCACAAAGCGTGAAAGCGCCAGGCCGAGGTTCAGGTAGACCAAATCAGCTTAGTCTTCCGCAACAGCGCTCAAGGTAAAAAAAAGAATCAACTTCTTTCATTTTGAGGGTTTCTTGCAGACTCACGCACTCATAGTTACGCAAAATGTTTGTCATCCGATTTAACTGAAATTTCATTCTTTTCAACATCATGCACGCACTTTATATGTGTAGTTTTCGGTACATCGTTCTTTTATTTGTTCTCTCTATCGCCACATTTTAAAAATTCATCCAGAAAAAACCATAGATCGAAAATCAAATAATAAACGTGTTTTTCGTGCCGAGCATTGCATTAGAATGCTTCATCAAATATAGAAATGGAATATCGAATATATTATCTACATTTTTTTTATTTTGAATTTCAAATCTGACTTCGGAATTATAATTCAGTGAATTTCTATGATAAGCACATTTTTTGTAGTACAATAGACAAATTCATGAATTGTGTGTTTGACGAATAGATTTAAAGTTGTAGCAAATGATGTTTCGAATGTATTATTATTATTATTTAACGATATCAAATCATATATGATACGCTGCTGAACGTTAACCTCGATTCAATTTCAACAAAATTTAATATTAAACATATCCGAATTTAATCTAAATGTAAATCGCCTTACCAACATATCAAATCACAAAAGAAAGGCAATGATTTATAATATATGTACCATCAATTGAGAATTGCATGAACATATATCATCAAAACACAAACATACGCAAAAATGTGCGCGCGTATTTCAGCGGGCGCAACCAATCATCATCGACCATGTTAATGGATTGAATGCGATTGAGTCGAAATCGGGAACATTTTTTAAAAAAATGGTAATGATTTTGAATGAAACACCCGAAGGTGTACCAAACTAATCAATGACTTGAAATGACCACGTAAAACCAACATGTTTTCATTGAAACAATATTGAATGTTCATCGAATTCATAGTTAATTAATTACCTGCAAACTGCACCAATTTTTATGCGAAAACATTGAACATCGCTTAAAGACACATTATGACGTTTTTCGTTCATCAATACGTTGCACTGCTAAAAGAGAAAAGTCGATAATACATTCATTTTGTGCACCGGAATAAGACTGAAAGCAAAAGGATTGACATGTCAAGCATATATGAACAATGGCATGAGAAATGGTACAAATCCGCATCAAATGGATGATACCATTAAATACCAATTTTTCAAATGTTAAAAAATGTGAATGTTGTCAATTTGTCGACATTCTTTAAATTTTTTCGGTTTATTTCTTCTTCGATTTTGAATGTGCGGTAATCGTGATTTTTCATTGCAAGGAACAATGTGAAAATTCCGTCCAATTTGTGTAATTCCAGAAAATAAAATGTGATCATGTCAAATTAAGTATGAGATGTAGAATGCTAAGAAATAATGATATCAGGAATGCGCAATTATAGTCGTATTTCGCGTAAAATTAATATCAACTTATATTTAATGTGTCGTTTCACATTTTCATCAATTCATTTAAATTGCGTGGTGACGGTTCGATTCAATCGAACAATTGTTGCGTAATCCTTGAGCATTATTTATTTTTCTTTTTTCTATTGGTTCGTAAAACGTTTCGCTTATCCCATAAGCTTTGAACGTTCAATGACAGTGGGTTTTGTCACTTTTTCTCTCTAATAAATTGTACTGGTTTCTCTATAGGTTGACATAACCAATCGAAATTGATGTCGTTATCACAAATGTGCCACTTTAATAAAAAAAAAACACCCACATTCACATAAATATATATACAAAATAATCATAAATTTCTTTCATTCTGTTAGGTGAATTAATTTTTTATTTGCTGACCATTTCGATTCGAATTTCTATTTCTTTCTTTTTTATTTGTGCATAATTTTATGGATAATCTGTATCCGAAAATAAATACGACCATGTCTATACATATATTTTTTTTCTTTTTTGGGTCTGTGTCGTTCAATAGAGTGGCTTCAATGCCAAATACAGGGGTGGAAGAAGAATATTATCGGTTGCGACACTTTTCGATTACGGGAAAGGGTGTTATCAATCGTGGCGACTCGTTAAAAAGCCGACGTAGCCGCTCAAACACCAGTGTGGCAAGCTCAAATTCCAGGTAAATATTCCCATTTGATTCAATTTGATGATATGGTTGCAAGTTCGAAATGTAACATTAAAAAAGAGATAATAGATGATCACACCAAATTGTTGGTCACATTTGATTTGATCAATTTATTACTCCGTTTATTCTGGCTATACCTTTTTGATCTGATAAAAATCATGATGGAAATATGTGTTGACTCGGTCTGTGTGTGTTCTTTTAATCACCAAAATTTATTTGTTCAACAGTACGGAACATTTGACGGCAAATGTATCAAATCCGGGCAATTCAGCACGTACATCGGCTACATGTAGTTTGGCATCGAGTCGAGAGAGCAGCACTTCAAATCCAGGAGCAGGGCCATACAGGTGAACACATCAATTAATTCCATTTATTGTTGAATGTTCATTACAAAAAAAAAACGAAGAACAATTAAAATTGAATGATGGTCATTTCGGTTCGCAGGGTCTTAATGCTAGGTGACACAGCTGTCGGAAAAAGCTCGCTTGTCTCTCAATTCATGACAAGTGAATACTTACACGCTTATGACACCAGCATCGGTAAGTTCATTAAAATCACAAGATTAAATCAATGGAATTAATTTCTGTTTTGTTCGTTCCGGTTATTTTGGTTTTTTGCCATGGCATTTAAACAAACATAGAGAGTTTTTATGGAGTTGACATTTTCAATGTGTAATGTGATAGAGATCATCAATTTTTTTTAAATGTCATCTTATTTCTCAATGATTTCCATTTGATATTGGTTTGGTTTTTTTAAATTCATTTTCTTGGACATTTCTCGCCAAACATTTATTTGTATCTTTTCTTTCGATTCTGTTCCGATTTCTTTGTGGGGAAATGGGAATGGTTTTATTTGAATTCAGGTCAAAGCCAGGTTCAAATTACAATTGATCGTGATTCAAATGACGGTAAACAAAAAAAAACAATAATATATTGAAAAAAAAAATGAAAAAAATGGAATGAAAACTATGCAAAATCAAAAACTATATTTATTGAACTGAAATTCCTGTACATCTTCACTATATCTCACTCATTCTCATTTTCTCTATTCAGTTGTGTTTATTTCGATATTTAAATATTTCTCGTTCTCTTTTTAACTTTAATTATTTCCATTCACCTTTATTTCCGCCATTTTCCGTTTCAATCTCAATATTAATTTCCTGTTTAATCATCATCTCGAAATGACTACCTCGTACTCTCGATAACTCTCTATATCTCTATTTTGTTGTTTTTTTTCGCTTTGCGACACATAATTTTCGTTTGAACGACTCGCTTGATGTATAGGAATGCAAAGCTTGTTCTGGGTGGATAAAATGCATGTTTTTCTTTCAATGACTCATCAAGAACATCAATCAATTCATTTCCCTTTATCATTTCGGGAATAAAAAACGCTTTGCAATGTGATTTTGCGATTGAATATGCTGGTTTCGTTACAACCCCATTGCTGCCACACATAAAATGCACAATTCATGTTGCTTTGGCTACCCTTTGCTTTGTTAACTTACAAACATTATTCGATGGTGCTGAAAATTAACCCACGTTTTATATTGAATATAAGCATTTCAGTTTGACTTTTTCACACACACACACACACACACATATACACTATCCATGCTGTTAATTCCTAAATAAAGACTTTTTTATTCAAAAAAGTCTTCTTTCTTGAACTGAACACTAATATAAGAGTAAAACACTTGTACGAATAGAGAGCATGTATGATCAGCGAATGTATAAAATACTTTAGATATAAGGCTTACTTGCTAGATAGTAATTCTCTATTTTCGTATGCAATAAACTCCACAATAAAGCACACGACTTCATCAATAAAATTTAACAAAAAAACGCACATCTTTAGAGGTGAACGGATGTGTAAGAAACACACAACCGCATCAGTGCAGATGTAATTTAATTGTTTTATTTTGGTCTAAATAAAATATTTTACTTTATATTTCAAAAAAAGGAACTCTCGAAAATAATGCAGTCATGACTTATGCACCCTTTGTGGCACTTTGCCCCAAATTGTGTGGCAAACCAACAATTCAAGTACCATAAAAAGCATTACAAATTCATGGAAACATATGAGGGTCTATTTGAATTGCCATTCATTCGATTCATTTTTTTCCGTTTTTTTCTCTTTCATCTGTGTTCGTTCGTGCTTGGTTAACGGCACTTTTCAATGCGAAAAAAAAAATCCCTGATTATCAATGTTTGGATACACTGGTAAAATACTTTCAAGCAGTAATGCTCGGTGGGCACGAAAGTGCATGATAGACATGAATGGGAAACTCATTTCTATGCTGTATGCTGGACTTTACTATACACTAAAGAAAAGACTACTATAGTGACGTAGAGACCATTCACAAATGATTTTTTGTCCCAACAAATATTCGCAAAGTTACAAAATGTTTACTTTTTACGATTTCGTAATTTCTTTGTTCAATTTATTAGTATGTGAACACATATCGAAAATCCAAGAAATCGTTCGTATAATGTTTTCAGTGTACAAAACCAGAAAGTGAAAGATGTACAAAAATAAAAAGGGAAAAAAGCGAGGAAAAAGAATTGCAACGGTCATCATGTGTTGGCGATGCTCGGCACGAATGCAATGAGTAATAAAAAAAGTGTTCCGTACTAAAAATGCCATTTGCTCAGTAATTCATGTTCCATTTTTCGTCTTCAATAGATAGACAAAAGCCAAAAATGAAGACAAACAAGCGAGATTCGCCAACCAACAGTCATAAAGCAACAAATTAGAACTGTACAACCAACCGACGCTTCGAGCATGTTACATTGTAAATCAGCTCAGTTCGTAAAAATTCCGTGTGCAAACATTTCGCCAAACTGAGAGATAGAAATAGAAACAAAAAAAAACAAGCAAGCCTTTAAAAAACGTTTCCACTTAATATAACACTACAGATCATACTAAATATATACATGAAAAGTTGAAGTACCACTGGAAAAATAATTACAGCATTTGTTAAAAAATTCCACACACATTCACTTACTGTCTATCTAGAACACAAAAATATTTTACTTCCTTTTTCTACCACATATACACAAAAGACACACACACTGCTTCATTTTGAGTTTTGCGCAAATGATTTTTTGCTCACCAAATATATATCTACATTATGTACTAGCATTATATCATATATAAGACACAAAAAATCACCTCTCTTCAAAACTCTTCAAAGAAAAAAAAATCAACAAAAATTATATGGCGAAAAGCTCATTGAAAACTTTTCGTCGATTCAAACTCTATCGAAATGAATGCGGCTAACTTATGTTTTGCACACTTCTATTTTGTCTATTTGCCAGATGATGAATCAGGAGAAAAGTCGGTGTCAGTGTTATTAAATGGTGAAGAATCTGAACTGACATTCATTGATCATTCGACGGCTGAAATGTCGGTAAGTATAAGAGAGTTCATCAAAAACCATGAACTTTTTTTTAAAATAAATCCATGACATTATATCGGAGTAAATGCAAAAATAAAGTCCCATGATATTTTTTTTAACCGCGAATGGAGTGTTTTTCCTTGAGCTTTCACGTTTGCTTTGTTGTTTTTCAATATTTTGTGTGAAATAACACCATGAACATAATAATTTCGTCAAATTTAATTTCTGAAAATTAGTGAGTTTCATATTTTATGGTTGGCTAAACACATGTTTACTTCCGGCGATAAGGAACACACATTTGGTTGCTTGCTGCTACTATTCAAAATTGTGTAAACATAAATGATTTTCGCGTGCACTTGCAACCTTAGGTGTTTCACACCTTTCCCGTTCAATGAACGCCTGCCGGCGACCCCATCTTGTGCTTCAAAAACACTCACAAATCAAATTAAACCATAATAAAAGTGGTTTTTCTTATACAAATAATAATCATAATGGAAACACATGTTTTATAATCAAAATAATTTTTCCACGTCTTTGCCTTTTGTAATTTTATTTTATTTTATTTTTTGCTCCTTTTCCTGCGCTCCATTCTCGGACATTTTTACTCTATCGCTTAAACGGCTATCATTTAATGTGCTGCCACACATACGCCTTATCTGAACATATTGCAGCCGGAAAATTGCCTTACGAGCTACGAACCACATGGATACTGTGTTATTTATTCATCAGCTGACCGTAACAGTTTCGTACTGGCTGAACGTGTACTACAATCGCTGTGGACATCGGAGAATATAGCACAAAGGGCTGTGATATTAGTGGGAAACAAAGCCGACCTAGCACGTAGCCGCACCGTTACGTCTGAAGGTAAGGTCTGATGGTGTGTTGATGACGATGACGATTATGATGATAGCGACAGCGAATGCCTTTGATTCTTAATTCACTTGAAATGTCTAAACACCATTTTCATAAACTACTCAACAGAGATTGTGCATGGCACAACACATATAAATCGCTTCGTTATTACTGTGCATTTTTCTGTTGTCGTCGTCATCGTTGTCTTTATTTTTATTTTTTGTTCTCGATTGCCATTTCGCGCGCGATATACCACATCTTGAGGGTGTTTCATTTGAACGACTTGGAAATACAAGTGCGAGGAAAAAAAGAAAACGCTGACATTTGCATAAATAAGAAAACGAAGGAATGAACAGAGAAAAAAAGAATTATGTAAAATACAAAACTCGACATAAATGCAAGCACAAGCATCGCGAACATTAAACATACACAAAACACAGTGGAACTCTATTCACTGAAGAAGAAAAAAAACTGTACATATTTACGCGTGATGAATACTAATCGAAATTTATATTTTGAATGTATTTTAATCCGCAGAGGGAAAAGTAATGGCGACGGCATATGACTGCAAATTTATCGAAACATCAGTTGGCATAAATCATAATGTTGATGAATTATTGGTTGGACTGTTAACGCAAATACGATTGAAATTGGAGAATCCGGAAAAATCCAGGTTTGTATATATCCATTATCCATCCATATACACAATAATCTCGAGCAAGTGAAACTATTTAGCATGAACCACCAAAATGCATAATAATACGTCTGAATTGAATGCGAATGGCGCAAACATTTATCTCTTTCACTTTAGCCATAATTTAAACCGATGCTTGTCTAAATGTGGTGTGTATGGTAGCGTGAGTGAGTGAAATTACCAACTCCTCTCTCTCTCTCTCTCTCTCTCTCTCTCTCTCTCTCTCTCTCTCTC